TGTAACACTGCTGATGAAGGTTAACATATGGCTGTAATACTGATGATGAAGGTTAACATATGGCTGTAACACTGATGATGAAGGTTAACATATGGCTGTAACACTGCTGATGAAGGTTAACATATGGCTGTAACACTGCTGATGAAGGTTAACATATGGCTGTAATACTGATGATGAAGGTTAACATATGGCTGTAATACTGCTGATGAAGGTTAAATATGGCTGTAACACTGCTGATGAAGGTTAACATATGGCTGTAACACTGCTGATGAAGGTTAACATATGATGAAGGTTAACATATGGCTGTAACACTGCTGATGTTAACAAGGTTAACATATGGCTGTAACACTGCTGATGAAGGTTAACATATGGCTGTAACACTGCTGATGAAGGTTAACATGGCTGTAACACTGCTGATGAAGGTGCGATGATGAAAGGTTATGGCTGTAACACTGCTGATGAAGGTTAACATATGGCTGTAACACTGCTGATGAAGGTTAACATATGGCTGTAACACTGCTGATGAAGGTTAACATATGGCTGTAACACTGCTGATGAAGGTTAACATATGGCTGTAATACTGTTGATGAAGGTTAACATATGGCTGAAGGTTAACAACACTGCTGATGAAGGTTAACATATGGCTGTAACACTGCTGATGAAGGTTAACATATGGCTGTAACACTGATGATGAAGGTTAACATATGGCTGTAAACACTGATGATGAAGGTTAACATATGGCTGTAACACTGCTGATGAAGGTTAACATATGGCTGTAACACTGCTGATGAAGGTTAACATATGGCTGTAACACTGCTGATGAAGGTTAACACATGGCTTTAACATGTTGGTGAAAGTTAACATATGGCTGTAACACTGCTGATGAAGTTTAACATATGGCTGTAACACTACTGATGAAGGTTAACATATGGCTGTAACACTGCTGATGAAAGTTAACATATGGCTGTAACACTGCTGATGAAGTTTAACATATGGCTGTAACACTACTGATGAAGGTTAACATATGGCTGTAACACTGCTGATGAAGGTTAACATATGGCTGTAACACTGCTGATGAAGGTTAACATATGACTGCTGATGAAGGTTAACATATGGCTGTAACACTGCTGATGAAGGTTAACATATGGCTGTAACACTGCTGATGAAGGTTAACATATGGCTGTAACACTGCTGATGAAGGTTAACATATGGCTGTAACACTGCTGATGAAGGTTAACATATGGCTGTAACACTGCTGATGAAGGTTAACATATGGCTGTAACTCGTATTGATGAAGGTTAACATATGGCTGTAACACTGCTGATGAAGGTTAACATATGGCTGTAACACTGCTGATGATGGTTAACATATGGCTGTAATACTGCTGATGAAGGTTAACATATGGCTGTAATACTGCTGATGAAGGTTAACATATGGCTGTAACTCTGCTGATGAAGGTTAACATATGGCTGTAACTCTGCTGATGAAGGTTAACATATGGCTGTAACTCTGCTGATGAAGGTTAACATATGGCTGTAACACTGCTGATGAAGGTTAACATATGGCTGTAACTCTGCTGATGATGGTTAACACATGGCTGTAACTCTGCTGATGAAGGTTAACATATGGCTGTAACTCTGCCGTATTGGGAAAAGTGGTTGTGGGGATGGGGGCAGGTTGGGTGAGGGTTGAGGTGGGGGTTGAGGTGGGGGTTTAGACTGTTCAGTCACATGACATGGGACGCAAAGGATCGTTTACACTACCCCGAGATCAAAGAGTGTTTTAACAATGTGCCTGTAATTGTATTTACAGGCTAATAAAGTTGTGTGTGATTCCGTTTCAACCTGATACGTGGCCCAACTTGTTTTCTATATAAAATCGCTATATGTCCTATGTGGGTTAAATGCCTTTGATTTTTGTAACGAGGTCGTTGTAAAGAACAGTAATGGAAACCCACCGAGCTAATCAGGGACCTGTTTCAAAGGTTCCATGTCAGTTCAGCAATAACACTTATTGAGTACACATAAAAGCAAAGGGTAATTTACTTCGATTTAGTTCACCGCGCGCCACTGAACGCTTGTTTATTACACCCTTACATACACAACAACAAGGAAACAGGTGAACATATGGGGAGGTGTCTGTACGAATGTATCGTAAGTTCAAATTTCAAAACAGTTAAACAAGAAAGTTCCTACTTCAAAAGGAACTAAACTCACATGTCTTATGTCAAGAGAACAAAAAAAATGAACCCGGAAATGGTTGAAAGACACGCCAGAACGCACGTTTCTCGGCAGTTGCACACCGCACTTTAAACAAACTCGCGACCTTCGCCTCAATGAACCATTTAGGGGAGTGGCTTAACGAGCAACATGAACAGAAGACGGTAGTGATGTTGGATGATAAAGTACGGTGTGCTGCTGGTGTTACAGGCGAGAGCATCAGACCTGTAAACCACACCACAAACCGGAAACGGTAGGGGAAGGGGGCTGACCTGTTGAGCTAGGGTGCGGGTATGCCGTTATCGAGTACAAGTGTTGTTATAACTTGGAGATTATGGTGGGATGGGTTTAGTCGGGGATTATCTAGCGTGTTTGCAGGTGTTGGGGTAACTGTTGTCACTGGCGTTAAGTTTGTAGTAGAATAAGGTCTTACAGAAGTTAGTTGAGTGGATTTAGTTAATCCGGTTGGTATTAGCTTGTAGAACAGTATCAGAAATTAGCGTCCGGTGCCGAGGGGTAGGATATTTATGGGATTATTTACAACCGTAATTGTTGCTCCTTTCCATTCTTATTGGTGTCAGTAGCCACTTCCGGGACCAGTGCATCCGTACCAATACCCGTTAGCATTTCCGGTTCCACGTACTGCACTCATAGGAATATAAGTTAGTACATTTGATTGAGGTTCAAAAGGTGTAATGTCAGTGACATTTCCTTTTCATGTTTGTGAAGTGTTTGTTGAGGTGCACTCACTCACTCACTCACTCACTCACTCACCACTCACTCACTTACTC